AAGTAACATGCATTTCTCTGTCCAATCGTTTTCTCACAATGAGGGGCGATCACAGAATTATCCCTGTTTCTTTTGTGGTAGGTGTGTTCAGCTAGGGTTATCTGAATATCTCCTTTTTGAATATTATTTAGAATACTGATACAGAATAATTGCCTCATGTCAGGGACCTGCGTATCTCTGAAAACACTGTCACTTGAGTATGTTCGGCACTTTTGAATTGAATTAAGGTTCACCAAATAACTCCTCCTCATCCAATTATCCCGTACGACAATTGAGACTGAACAAGTGCAGAATATAGGGTTTTCAAGTATTTCATGTCTAGGAAGTTTCTGAGATATTGGAATTTAGAAAGTGTACCTCTCATCTTTCTTACTGTTTTTTTTATGTGTAAGTCCCAACGAAGGTGTCTATCAATTGTTACCCCTAGTTATCTAATTGAGTCCCTTTCAGTTATATAGTAATTATTGTTGATATTGAGTTGTCCAATATCAGGCAATCGATTGGAGTATGACGTGAATGGTAAGTAATTCGTTTTACCGAAGTTAATTGTGAGTTTGTTCTGTCAAAATCAACGTTCTATTGATAGCAAAATTCTTCTTCTACACATAACTTAAGTTGTTCCCATGTAGATCCTGTGTATAGGATGGCAGTGTCGTCCGCAAAGCTCAAGACCTTACCTCTTGTATCAAGAAAGAGCAGTTCATTCAAGTAAATTGTGAAAAGAACGAGCCTAGCACAGTTACTTGAGGTATCCCAAAGCCCACAGTTTCCGGCATACTCATTGTATCACCTATCTTGACACTCTGTTCACGATCATTCAAATAACTTTTGATAATATGATAAGTTTGCGCTAGTCAGGCCCTATCCCCCGAAGCCCTAATACATTCAGGAGGGCGCGCCAACCAACGACCACTCTCCACATCGTGGGGTGAGTATATTATAATAGGTTAAAAGAAATGATAATTGAAATTGAACAAATATTTGATGATCTCAGTTATTATAATGATATTAAATATCACTTTCATTTGAGTTCATGATGAAAACCAACATCATTTTAGGAATGTAAAAAAGTAATAATTGATACTAACTCACTAAATTACCAAGATTTTATTCAATCAAGCTTTGATTAAATACATACATAAAGCAAGTTTCGTATCTGTCAGATATTTCTATAATATAGTATATATAATATAGTATCTATATATAGTAGGAGGTAAAAAATCTATTCAAGAATGTATCACTAAACATTTGTGTTAATTTTTCCTATAGTTGCACACTTCATATCTCAATAGAATACACATTTTACTAATACTATTAGCCTTGCGGAGTGCCTTATGGCTACCTTTCAATTCATGGGAACCTAAGAGTTAATCCAGCCTACAAAACAACACCTCAAAGAAACCCATCAGACATAATGTCGGAAGGCAAGGCAATACATCAGTCATTGAGAAAGGAAATTTCAAAGATATGAAGTAAAATAACTATAATAAACGTTGAAAATAATTATTTCTTTTTTGTTGTCAAAACTAAAGCGAACTAACAAAATATTCCAAAATCTTTCTAATGTGACATCAGCCATTCTTAGTGCATTGCTTACTATATCTGAGCATGTTTGCTTATAGTGTGGCTCATGATTTTTTTGGTATGCGGTAATATCTGTTTAATTTTACGCTTTGCTTGTCTAGTACTTGTAAATGACGTGATATTTGGAACAAATTTTCCATAAGTATATGGAGCATCATCATGTTATGTACTTGTTTTACTTCTCTTATAGTTGGAGAAGCGTGAATAAGTAGATCATCTCAGTAGAATAATCTTTTAAATATTTAAATGAAATAAGTTTTTGTACTTTTTCTCTGAAATGTTAAATTGAATGTGTGACACTTTTCTACAAGATGAAAAGTATTAACTTTATTTTTCTCATTGCCACGTCTGACTTTTTACTATAACCTCAAGTTAGTTAGTACATTTCAAAAATGAAAAATTTCACATATGCACGGTGTCACCAACAGGAGGCATTAGCTGGGTGGGTTGTTTGTTTTTCAGTTGGGTATCTGCCACACGTACCTACAAAGTTGTAGGTCTGTAGACATGAAATATGAAATAAACG